TACTGGTCTGGAGGCCAGTTGCTTTCAAACATCTGGTCCCAAAGGTATAAACTGTTACAGGACAATTTGAAACCAGTAGCCAGAGACACAAACCAAATAAATCCACATTTAAAGTAGCAATGCCAACCAATGAAAATTATATGCCTACCATGTTCCAGATAAGAAGGCGTACCTTCCGAGGGATCGAGTCTTCGAGCTCTCCGCCCATGCTTGGAATTGTTGTGTACAAACATATTGTCCGACACTGCCAACACATGGCCATCAACATTGACTGTTGTAGACACCACAACCTGCAAGCACAAGAGCAAAACAGAGGAAAATTTGGATATATACATATGTTTTTTAAGAAGCACAGAGTGTAATACACTCAGTTAAATAAATAACAGCTGGAAGTCAAAGAAAATTGCATAGCTATTTCGCATAATAACTGGTGCTTATGCTGTACAAATCTAACAAGAGACGCTATTGATGAGTGGGTCTTTGGCATCACAAGCTTCTGATGCAGTTTTAAGTTAAATTGCAGAGTTTGTAGCTGCATGGCAGACAGCATACTGTTAACCATCATTTTAACAAGAAGATCTTTATTAAGTATTTTTTCCCCTGTATACAAGGGCAGCTGTGTTTCACCCTAAATTATCCTTCAGTTTCCATGCTGAAGTAGATAGAGCTGTTGACATTCCAAATGCGAATCAATTCAGAATAAAAGAAAACAAAAGTGTGTTTTGTGAAGTTGCAATGAGAGTTGTTGCATGCCTCCCCCCACCCTTCTCTACTGCTCTGCCCTCCATACAGTCACTACAGGTTGTTGAACTTGCCCAAATTTCTCCCGAGCTCTATCTCAGGGAGCACGCATAGGTATGTTTGTGTACACATGCACGCTTGACAGTAGGGTCTTGATCTGGAGAACACAACCCTATTCATCCAGCACTAGAATTATTTGTATTTCTCAACTTATCTCAATGTCAACACCTGGGATTTGGTTTGAGGAAAGGGGAGGGAGACAGAGAAGCACAGCCCTGCAGGCAGGATCCGACACTTCTGCTCCCCAGAGCAGCCTGGGGCAGGAGAGGAGCCAACCCAGCAGGGGCAAATGGGTAAGTGTTGGGTCCAGAGTAGAAGACCCAGCTGCTCAGAGGTGTCCAGAGGGACCTCTCAACCTTGAGGCTCAGCAGGCACCATCCTACAGAAAATCCATGTTCAGGCTGAGGGCACCCAAGCCGCAAACCATCATAGATGAAAGGGGAGGATGCATGGGACAAGTCCCAGGGAGAGAGCTGTGAGCTCATCACACCAGGTCTCATCCCACCCCATTCAGACCAAGTGACCTCATAGCCTCCCCGGCTTTCATTCAGCCACCCCCTTCCACAGTCTTTTTCCAACAAAGTACGGCATTCCCAGGGTTTTATCCCAACCAAAGATACAGCTTTCAGCTGGCTGCTGGTTTGCCAGGAGCACGTGCCGCCTGGAAGAACTTCAACTAAAACAATAAGAAGAAATGACCTACACTTCTCCTTACATTAAACAAGGAAAGGGATTAAAAACCGAAACCCACAGAGATATGTTTATTCATGCGACCTCTTACAACCAAATATAATAATTGTCTGTTAATTGCAGTTTCAGCTCCCACCTCATGCTTCGACATGTGAAACAGCAATCAGCAGCTCCTGTTTAATCCACCTATTATGTTGACTAATTAACTTTGCTCGACAGTTTATTTCTTCCTCCATTATCAGCCCCTGTCAGCCGCAAGCACACTGCCGCAAAGGGGGACCTCAGCCCTTTTGATTGATCACCAATAGATTGACATGCAGATTAATTTAATTAGAATCACCTCACTTGAGAAATGAAAGACAATGGCAAGGGGGCTAATAGATCTGCTCTTATAATGAGGCAAGCCTCCAGAGCCACGGCAGAGGATTTCTGATTTATTTTGCTGAATTCCCCAGTCGCTCTGAAAGGCTCTCACTTTAATTGTTCTTGGTTTTGAGAGGCTTTAGCCTCTGAAGAGGTGAAATGCTTTACAAGGATTGGCAAACATCGTTTCAACTCTCTCAGGAAGCTACTGCCTCTCACAGTTGGTCAAATGGGGACACTTAAAGGATCACTTACAACAATTCCATTTCATCACTTAAATCAGATCTAAAAAAAAAAAAAAGTTAAATTTTCCACCCATTTCTGACCACTGATTAAAATGCTCAAAAATCTAAAGTAAGCAACACTACTAAATCGCCCACAACTAATCCCAAAGTCTTTGTCTTTAAAAAGAGGAATACGAAAAAGAATAGTTTACATCGAAAGGATCCTAAAACTGTCCCTCCGAATGGCATTCTAGGCAATAGATTTTTGTGGGTGTTTTAAGTGAAAGATATTAAAATACAGAATAAATGATTCAGGAGCTCTTACAGATGGAAATTTGGGAAAAAGAAAGCACCAACACTGTAGGGTAAGTTTTTCTGAAATCAAACTAACAGCAAAAAATACCCAAGCTTTATATATAAAATTCCAAAAGGGATTTCAAAAGTAATTTATCCATTGCATTCCTGAGGGATAGAATAAAGTTTATAATATTTTTTCAATAAAATATGATCTTACAATGAGTGGCTCAGGGTTTGCAATCTTATTTGTGCACTTGCAACCATTGTAAATTCTTTGCAACTGGGATTTTGAGCCAAATCCTTAGCTGGCATTGCCTGTCACAGCTCCATGATTTATGCCAGCTCCTCATTTTCTTCTATGGGTCTTCTTAGATGCATATGAAAATTCACACTACTATAATTAATAACAATGGTTACAACATAAAATATTTTCCCCAATCCTAAAACCACATAGGTACACACAGATTTCACACTGGAGCTGATCAATCTTGTGCTGAAACCCAAACTTTTGTACATTTCTAGAAATAGGACTCCAGAAAAATAATAGATTGAGAGTAATAATAGCAACTTAGGTCTCAAACCTGTGAAAAACTTATATATAAGTAGCGGTCTTTATACATGTGCCTTTCTAGAGAGGAACTTGAGGAAACAATCCTAGCAAGGTCAGTTTTACTTGAGTAAATCTACATTTAATTTTCCCCCTCAGGTTTCCAAAACTGTTGATGCCACTTATTTTGTGTCTTCCTACCTACCTCCTGAACAGAGAGTTTGATTTACTACAAAGAGACCACATTGGTGTGGTTCTTTGGTGTCGTTAGCAGAAGAAACTATAAAAGGAATCCCCAAGAGAAACTGTTTCCAGTTTCAGGAAATGCAGAAAAAAAAAAGTGGTTACTTTATGTATCTGTCTGAAAAAAAAGTGATTATTCATAGTGCACCTGTAAGAAGCAGCACACACTTACTGTTTTATTCTTTAAATGCAAAATCTCATTAATACAGGAATACTGAACATACACTCCACTAACAAAATATTAATGCCTCTAATTACTAACGGAGAAAATATACACCTTGAGTATTGTGTGCCACAGTTATATACTTGGATTGCTACAGAGCACTTACATATTTACAAGATCTACTCGTATTTTTTAATCTAAAAAAAATACTACACTCCTCATTTTGATTCTGAAACGACTGGGATATGTTCAAGTTAAAGCACATGCTAAAACTAATTTGTGAAGAAATCATAATATTAGGGGGAGGGGAAAGCCAGAGTATATGTGGAATGGGCACCAAGGCATCCTAAAACAGACCATAGCAAGAGGGAAAGGCACACTACAGTTTAATAAATGATTAATGAGGTGCTGACACATTAATGTAAGCACAGGGACAACCAGGCCTGCCAAATCTCAAACCTTTCCAAATTTTGTCAACAAAACACAGTTTTAATTTGGGACAGGCAAACATGGAAAATGATTTTCAGCTTTAGCTTTAGCCCTTCATAGATTTAGAACTTAAATCCTGTATCAACACCAGGGGAGACAGAGGTATGAAAGAAACACATCAGTTTACAACTTTCTTCAATGAAGTTGGCACTATCAGCTGCATCACGGCTCTGTGAATTATTTTGCCTGCCATTAAAGAGTTCAGTTGGTCAATACTTTAGAGCTTAGTTTAAAAAAAAAAAAATTCAGAGACCAGGAGCCTGGAGATCAAGCTATTTATCCACGTTTAGCACTAGGCCTGTTTATTTGTTATAGTACCTCACCTAATATATCAAAATTAAGCATTGCATGGCTCCTCATTTTTAACCACAGCTCATTAAGCTTTGCCATCTGATTAAGACATAGCATGTTCCTTGTGCTTTTAATTTTCTCCGACGCATGGTGAGGGATCTGATATTTTTGCAATGTCCCCAACATCCAGTGGCAAAGGCAGGGAAAATCTGTTTGAGATGATTTCCAGGTCTGAAATGTGTCTTTAGCATTAAACCTGTAACTCCTGCGTTCACTGCTCTTCCAAAAGCTATGCAGAAATGGCTTGAGCAACATCTTTATTTTCCTCGCCACTTGGTGACCTCTTCCTACAATGTGTTGACTTCTTTAGTCTACTAACTAAAAATCACTCTCAATTTAACAAGACACTTAAAAACGTGCCAAACTTAAAGCACATAAGTACAATACATTCAGTAATTTTACTCACATGTTCAAGGACAGGACAGGCGCTTAATTACCTTGTTGAATTGGGCCACAGCACTCACTGCTATCTTACAGCCTTTTTTTTTTTTCTCCCTTTCCTTTCCCTTCTCTGGGGATGGAGCCTTGCACGTCCAAACTCCATTATCTGGAATTCATGAAGCATCATCTCTCTCTCTTATGCAAATTTGCAATAAGACACAAGTGGTCTCAATTCAGACATGAGTGGCAGCATCCCATGGAGGCAAACTAGCAGCCTAGGCTGAGGAAGAGGTTGTGGTAACAGAATCAAACAGCATGGCAATTTCTAAGTGACTTTCAGGTTTTTAATAATAAATGAACGTTTGGGGTGTTACGCAGTGACTCGGTCTTAAAAGTTTCTCTAAATTAAAACTTGACATGTGTCAGTTTGCAAGTAGTTGTGGTAAAACAAGAACAACAAGATAACTAAGGCACTTGGGTTTCATTAATTACAATAACACACAAAACTGTTTAGGTTGTACGAATGTGTTTTTAGTGCTGAAAAAGAAAATCTGAGCAGAGTTCACCCATGATACCACCTACTTAGTAGTATTACTACCACTAACTGGGGCAGTACAGCCCGTCCCAGCAAGACTGATGACTTATTGTGATGAAGAATGCACAACCAGACTGAGCATCTCCTCCATGGGGTTTCTAGAATAAAAAGGCAAGGTTGGACAAAGGTAAAAATATCACCAAATGCTTTGTGCAACTGGGCTGATGAAACACAGAGATTTAGTGATTTTCTTAAGGACAAGCAGGGAGTCTGTAGCACAGCTGAACACTTGACTCAACTGTCTTGAGTCCCTGCATAATATTTGACTCCTCCTCTCTGACTGTCTCCTTCTGCTAACAGAGACACAGCTAACTCAGCCAGGGCCAGCACTGATCCAGCACACACTTTTGCTGGCACTTGACACCGCTCCAGTTGTCACATGCCTGGACATCTCAGACATGCAGAGAAATGTATTTGCTTCCAGGCCCACAACTGCTTTTATGTTAGGCTTATCACACTACTACATTTGCATCCAATGCTCAGGGTGAAACTTCCTAATTCATTTCTATATGTGAGTCTGAATGATGTTTCACACACAGGTCACCTGAATCAACACATGTTCTGCCTCCTCCCTGTACTGTTTTAACCTCTCTTATACCATATGATAATCAGACAACTCCCTGCTGCAGGAAAAAATACAAAGAACTACTAAGAAAGGAAATTTTATGCAGAACTTGTCATTTGGTAGTGCAAGACTCGTGTCCCTGGCCCTTTGCTGTTTCTCCCACCAAAACCATAATCTGCGTTCTAACAGCTCCTAGCAACTTTTAGGGACTGATGAATGAGACATCCATGCCCAAAAGATGAACAAGTCTCTGGGAAGCTTTACAGTCCAGCACAGATAGGGGAATGAAGTAAAGGAAGGGAAAGTCTTTTTGTTGTTTTTGTTGTGAAAAGAGTATGCTACTATTTAAAAAGTATCTGGAAATAACTTACTCTCATGGTTATTAATCAGAACTTTGACATAACTATTAGAGACGTTGTAAGTGACTGGCAATATTTCAAAGGCAGCTGACAGCAAATCCTCCACCTACTTCATGTGGGCCCAGGTTTTACTTGGTTGCTATACAACATTGTCGCAAACATCTAGGTGCATCATATCATTGAGATACTATGTGCATGCTTGGTCCTTTTCACCCTAAGAAATGATAAATGAAGCCTGGACTGTGTAGAGTCTGGCTGTTTTATGTTAAGAAGTTTATTGCTAAAAGAGGGACAAGTTCAAAATTAAAAAAAAAAAAAAAGAAAAGAAAAGAAACAAAAGCAGCTATTGTAAAACAATAAGCCTGAGCACTTAACAGAATGCTGCAAGCTTTAATACCACCCAGTATTATAGTACGAGTGGTTCACTCGGCTGAAAGTGATTAATTTCTTGAAAATGCTAAGGTCACACTAATTGACATGACCTGTGTAATTAAGCAGTCTCTGTTTACACACGGAAAGCTCAACTGCTGTGAAGCTGGGTTTGTATGACAGAATGTCTTTACAAGTCAAGAGATCAACAACCTTTCCTATGTCCTACCTACTCACCGACACAGGCTCCTGATTGCTGTTCTGAGAGAACACGCAAAGGCATTACCATATGAAAATCAGCCTTGAGCCTGGATGAGTACAAACCCAGCAGAGTGTACATGTTGTGAAGCAAGCTCTGACAGGCCCCAGGGGTGACTGCTTGGCCTAAATCCCTGTGCTGGTGAGAGTTCCTTTTTCCACTTTCTCCTTCAGTGATAATGCCATCTTGAATCACAGTAGAAACGTGACGGAGGGAGGAGTGTGAGGTGAGAAGCCAAGGGCTTTGCCATGCTAATGCTAGCTCTTATACTGATTAATTTAACCCCTGTGGCCATATCTCCTCACTTCTAGACTTCTATGCTCGGAAGGGCACAACACACCCGTCTGCCTTCTAGCATTGTTGCAATTAAGCAGTTCGATAAAAGACATATGTTCTACATATAAATAATATTGCCATTTACATAGCATTTAGCAATGTTATTTAAGTGCAACAATGCTGGAAAAGAAGTAAAATGGGTCTTCAGCTAGTGCAGAAAGCAGACATCTTCTGGAGTTGTCTTCCTCCAGAGACCAAAGTAGTCTATGGGACAAATCTCCTATTTCTTCCTCAGAACCCTGAGGCAAATCCCCACTGACAGACTCTGTCATGTTTTCTCCTGGGCCACAGACACTCGTCCCATCAAAAGAGAAGGTCCTTCAACTCTCTACCCCATATTTTTATTCAGCACTTACTCAGATAAGGCATTATTGGCACAAAGAACCACGTCTTCAATAAAGGAGTAGGAGCAACTGTTTCTCAGCATTGCCACCACACCACTCTGCTGCCGGCACTAGGGAAGGCAAGCACAGACCATCTCCCCAAGAGACAGTGCTGTCCTTAATCCCAAAAGGAGTTGTGGACATAGGTGTAGCATTAAAAAATGTCCTTGGCCATCTGAAGCTGTGTTGATACTACATTTCCCAAGCCTCACTGCCACTTACTGCAACAGTAGGGAAATACCAGCCCAAAACATCCCAAGAAAGATAAACCCAATGGTAGTTTTTTCCAAGTGCTGACTACAGGTATGGACCTTCATCCCACTGATGCACATTTATGAGTCTTTAACACTGCTGAAGAATAACTGCTGAAATGTAGTCATGAGACTGATTTTATTAACTGCTCTTATACGCTCCTCTGCCCTTTCCAATAAACTCAGTGCTCACTTGGTGTTTATAAGAAGGCAAATAGTTCCCCAGGCAGAAGGGAATATCTCAGAGCAGAGTAGACCCATAACATAATAAAACAGTGAGGTCATTTTGATTTTTCCTTTTCATGCTTTCACTTCCTGTGGAGATGACATTATCTTCAAAAATTCTCTTGTCCAGAGCAAGAAAACCCAACTACTTCCTGACAATTCTGCTGTGACAAGAAGTCCTCAGACAATATTTTGTGGCCTTGTGTTTTTAGCATCTTCCAGTGAATTACTAGGTTAGTTTGGGTCAAAGTACTTCTGTCCCTAACAGCTGCTGATTTTTAAAGGAGGAAGCATGTCTGACTGACCTGGAATCGACGCATGTCTCGAGGGTTTCCTGCATTTTTTAGGCAATTTTGGTTACATTTGAGGAAAAATTTCAAGAAGAACCTGTGGAGAAAGAGAAACGGACATTAATGCCTTAGAAACAGTGCGTAGTAGTACTATGTAACATCCGCACATTTCGTCCAACAAAGCTTTATTTATATTAGTATTCCCAGTTCAGACAAATCATCCCACTGACCATCCAAAGAGAGAGCAGAGTTTGTATGGGACCAAATCCAGCAAAACATGTAAGCACATCCTACACTTCTGAGCATTAAATTAATAGATCGTTGTGTCAGAGCCATTAAAGTTTGCAGAGTCAGTCCCTCTATCACGCTAAATGGCCAGCCTCGCTGTGCCATCCATAGCAGCAAGGAAGTAAGAGACACATATTTCAGCACAGCAAACAGAAGACAGAAAAATGCCAGCCAAGAAAGCTCTCTTATGTATAAATGGGGTTTTATTTTACAAGTTTGCTGTCGTGTGCAAATTTTGATTTACTACAAAAATACTGAAAGTGTTCCATACAGTTGAAATCTCCCTTCCACAATTAAACCCAGTTTGTGCATAAAATTAATGCTCAAATAGTGGCTAGCAGGAGACCAAAACCCTGAGAGCAGAAGGGGGGAAGTCTTGGTTAAAAGACTGACTTCACGGAAAAATAAAATATTTTCAGTGCAGTCTATTTCCTGACCATACACAGTTCACTGAAGTAGCTATACGACCCTGACATATATCTCTTAGAAAAGACATTGCATTTTACAAAGCCAAAGAAAAAAGCAAACATTTCACTGAAAATATTTCCTTCAGTGTTATGCATCAGTGGACTGTAAACTCATAAAGACAAGTCAATGAATAACAGCGGGTCTCAGATTCCAGGCTTCCTCCCTGAAAGCCAAAGTTTATCAACCTTTTGTCCAAAATAAACTACAGACTAAGGTCTACTAAAGCTCAGCTGTGCAAAATTTAATCCTATAGCAAGTTTAAATCCGAGCGCAACCAGACAGAGCAGCATTACACTTGCAATAACCATCAGTTGACAAAGTAGAAGCTAATCTGACCTGTCTCCATATACCAGAAGCTGGGCGGGTAGTTGTTTGGTTCCATTTTATTTTAAATTAGAAAGGTAACTTTTGCAAGCATCCATTTTTTAGCACCCAAACTGAATGCTAGGTGAGCAGAATTTGCACATACTGCCACCAAGAAAGGCAAAACTTCAGGGTAAACAGCTTCAGAAAACCCCTTTTTGATGAGCAGCATTCTTTGCCCCACTCTAGTTGTGATGCTGCCCCTTAACGAGGAAAGTTTTGGTACTTGTTCCTCCATGCCAAGAAAATCACACTAGGCAAACGGGTGCGAGGACAAACTGAAACTACAAAGGATTGTATTCATTAAAGAAACATAAGGTAATGAGGAGGATTATAAAATGTGATGCTTGGGATTATCAAGGACTGGACCTCCTGCCCAGGGAAGTCCCTTGTAGACCTGTGCTCCTAAATAAGAGCAAGCAATCAGCACAAAATAAACAGCCACCATGCTTGAACAGGGGTTTCGAGACACTGTGTTTGTTTATGTTAAAATAAAAAGTGGCGTGAGCCATTATGTTTTCTCATCAAGCAGGTTCAATAACAGAAAGTTGGTGCTATTTGTTGTACATGTGTGTGTCTTTTTAAGCCTCTAATGGCCAGCTGTGACAGCCTGACTCAGATTGTGTAGAAGGAGCTGTCAGCACAAATCTTGGCATCTCAAATCCAGACAACTGCTTGCCACCAGGCGAGGGTTTGTACTCGTGCCAGAATGGATTCTGAGAGACAAGCAAATAGGGCATTAATTCCGCCAAAGAAAAACGAAAAGCAAGGAGAGTTCAGGATCTTACACTTCAGATGATGGCTTTGCTGTCAACAGCTCGTCATTTATCTCATGAGCTATGAAGGGCACGGACAGCAGATCCCTCTTGCCCTAAGCTGGCCCTGACCTGCGAAATGCTGGAAGGGTCTGGAGACCACCCCCCCATGTGAGATTGCCTGCTGAAATAAAAAGCCCAGCCATCTGTTGGGAGGCAAAGACATCCCTGTCAGCTGGTGCCTACAGCCTCAAACAGGCCCTTATGTGGCAAAGTCTCAGAGCCACTTACTCTTTGGGGAGAAGCCGGTGCTGCCCGGGGTTTGCTGGGGGATTTTTGGCAGCTTCACCAAGCGCTGAGCCCAGCAACTGCCCTCCCAGTCTGCTGCAGCCCTGGAGTAACATCTCAGCCCTGAGCGGAACTGGGACATGGAATAGTTAAAAATATCTGTGCTGAAAGAGT